CCATTTCATTAGTATATTGTTCCTAAGCCTTTGATTTTCAGTCTTCCCCCCACCAACCCACCCATTTCTTAGATGTCTCTTTTAGGCAACGTATTATTGGGCTTTGTTTCTTAATGCATTCTGCTATTCTTTTTCGTTGATTGTGTATTTAATCCATTCACATTAAATATGGTTACCGAGAGGCCAGTTTTTGTTCCTGCCATTTTGCTGTGTTCCTTTTTTCTGTCATTTCTGGGCACTATGGTCCTTCCACTTTCCTTTGGTGTCACAGTGTGAAGAACTTCCCTTAGAATTTCTTGTAGAGTTGATCACGTTTTCATAAATTTCTTAAATTCCTGTTTTTCTGCAAATGACCTAATTTTGCCTTCATATTTGATGGGCTGCTTTGCTGGGTACAGGATCCTCAGCTGGCCATTGTTTTCTTCCAACCTTCAGTATATGCCATCCCATTGTCTTCATACACACATAGTTTCTGCTGAGAAATCAGAACTTAATCTGTTTGGTTCTCCTTTATAAGTGACTCTTTCCCCCCCCCCCATCATGCTGATTTTCATATTCTTATTTTTATTTTGGAGAATTCAACTATGACGTATCTTAATATTTTTATTTTTAGGTCTATTCTGAGGTTCATTGAACTTCTTGAATGTAGATGTCTTCCTTCTTTGTAATGTCTGAGAAGTTTTCCTTTAGTACTTCTTCCACATTTTTCTCAGTGATTTCCCTGCCCTCCTTCTGTTCGGGGATTTTGATCACATGCATGTTGTCCCTTTAGATGTTATCCCACATGATTCTAATGTTTTCTTCATCTTCTCAATTTCCCTTCTCAAATTTTCCTTCTAATATATTCCCATTGAGGTTCTTGTCTTCCAGCTCACTGACTCTCTGTTCTCTCTCTTCTGTTCCACCTTTTTGTCCCTCTAACATGTTGGAAACATCTGCCATTTTGGTCTTAATGTTATGAGTTATGTTTTCATGGACTTCTGTGTTTCTTTTTTTAGTACTATGTTGGCTGTACCTTCTTTGTCTTGGGATGATTTTTTTTAGGTTCTTGTACTCCTTTATCTATAGTTTCAATTCTTGCTTTCATCTTTGCAATTTCATCCATAGTTGCTCATGTTCCTCCCTGGAACCTGTCTCTGCAATATTCAATTTATATATGGCTTCCATTCTTTCTTCCATCATTTGCACCTTCTTCAATAGCTGTTCATATAACTTCACATCAATATATTTTTTCTGGTTCTCTGTCTCTGTGGTATTTGCTTTATTTATTACTTTCATTCTTTCTTCCATCATTTGTCCTTTCTTTTGTAGCTGTTCTTATGATTCTTCATCATTTTATTTCTTCTGCTTCTCTGTCTTTGGACTATTAATTGGGCATGCAATATGCTCTACTTTTTAAGGAGAAGACTTATTTTGTGCTTTCACAATGTTTGAAGCTGCCCACTGCTTTCTTGGCAATATGTGAAGTTTTTTCTTGGAATGTGTTAGGATGTTGCTGTAGAGTTTGAGTAGGTTGTTGACAGTTCTTTATCTCTATGATATTAATGATTAGTTGCTGACTTAAAGTGTTCCCTTTATGAGGGAGGGTAATTTGCTAAACCAGGAGTCCTTTAAGGTGCTGTGCACTGGGAAAGCTCACTGTTTCCAACATACTTCGACTTCTCTCTGGACTACAGTGCAGTCTTGTGGGAAATACCACCCAAGTGCTGCCCACCTCTTCTAAAGTTTGTAATTGTCTTTAGTGGTCTACAGTGTAGCCAAAGACTAGTTTCCTGCTGACAAATGCACTCCCTCTATCTGGAGTGAGGTGAGGAGAGCAGAACCCTGTTTCTCTATTGCAGCTTCTCTTTCATAGCTGCCTAGAGCATAGCCTGGTGGGAATCTCTCTCCTGCCTGTGCCTGCCTCTTCTAAAGTTTGTAATTGTCCTTGGAGCCTCTAGTGTGCAGTGCAGTCGAGACCTACTTTCCCCCTGGCTGCACTCTCTCTATCCAGTGTGGATTTAGGGGAGTAGGGCCATGTACCTCTATGCAGTTGACCTCTCAGCTCTATCTCACAGCCTGATGAGAATCTCTCCTCCCTGCACTCACCTGTTCTAAATCTTGTAATTGTCTCTAGCAGTTCTGGTGCTCAGAGTAGCTGGAGACCAACTCCCCTTGATGCTGCACTCTCTATCCACTTTGGGGGTCTCAGGATCATTGTTTTAAGTGGAGCATTGCAGGGGTGGCTGTTTGAGCAAGAACAGTTCAGAGGGACAGAGAGTATTCCTATGCAAAAGACTGAAATATTGAGAAACGTTACAGTTGTTTTTTTGATTATGGAATTGTTTTACTTCTTCCTTGGAATTTTTTTCAATCTCCTCAAAAAATACCATGTTTTTGTCATTATTGAGCCATTATTGATCGATGCATGTGGAATAGAACTGAACCCTGTAGGGTCATCAACTCTGTCTTTGCAGACAACTCTGGATAGGTTTGAACAGACAACCTTTCAGCTTGTAGTCAAGTGCTTAATTCTTACGCCACTCAGGTCCACCACAATGCAGTAAGGTTATGAAATAAGAGTGCTGTTGTAAGTTAGATTCTGCTGCAGCAATGTGCCAGGCACATCAGAAAGGAGAGAGATTTCAGGGTGGTGACTGAGACCAGCTGCTGTAAATTGTCCCTCCGTTCTCTACCTGTACCTTAGTGCTCTGGTTTGGAATGTGATCATTATCACATCTCTAACACCCTGTGGCTCACTGCCTTCCGCCCCTCCATCTCCTCTCCCCACCACTGGACCTGGCCAAAGGTTTCAAGATGCTTACAGCAATATCCCCAAGATCGCTTGCTTACATGGCTATTCTCACTTGCAAACCTCAAGTCCAAACTATCCTGGGCCTCTTTGTATTTGGCACTGCATTCAAACACCACTCTTAGTTCCTCATTCCTTTCTAACCTCTAGACTTTGTCCTCAGGTTTCCTTTATGCTATTCAAATATACCTGAATCAGCCTACCCCAGTCACAAGCCCATTTTCAGATCCCTACACTTTAGATGGGTGCAGGTAGGGTATATAAACCTACACCCAGGTGGGTTCAGGTAAAGTGTATAAATGGTCAGGTCTTCCCACTTACAGCAGGAGTTCAGTGTGATCTGTCCTGCTTACTTTCCAAGGTCCTTTAAAATATTCATCACCCTTTATCAGGCTAATGGACTTCAAAAGGAGCAATTTTCTGAGACATGAGACAGGACAATATAAAAAGAACATTAAGGAAAAAAATTCTTCTTCCAAAAGGAAAGGAGAAAGATCATTTAACACCCCTGTTAGTGTTATCTATTCATGAGAAACAGCACATTTCATTCAGAATGGGAGGGAGGGAGGGAGGGAGGGAGGGCGGGCTTTGATGCCCTCACCTTGGGGGTCACCTTCAGGCAGAATTCATCTTTCTCCTCTACTACAGATAGCAGGGAGGATGGAGATAGCTGGAGGCAAATGAGAATGCTTTCGGAGGTGGAGGCCACAGAGTGTGGAGGAATCAGAAGGAGAGGGCATGTGGAGGCAAGAGAATCTAATGTTGCTCCCTGATACTTATTGGGCAATAAAGAAGGCAGTATGGTACCCTCTTCCAGTCTTGCCGCCTTTCATACTTCCAGTCTATCTCACACGCAGGCTTGGTTTCTGTTATGGATCTTTCTCTGTAGTGGTTCAGTTCCCAAGGTTAAGGATTGTGACTCCAGTCTTACCCACCAAAATCTCTACCAATCTATTAAAAGTTGCCTTTGGTTTCCAGAGCTAAAACTAGATGCCACGGTTGCACAAAGTTGTCAAGTAACATGTATGTGAAAATGGTTCATATGAATCTAGACCCATGAAACCCTTCTCTGCCACCCCAGGAATGAAGTGGGGTAGTCAAAGCAGAGTCCCACTGAGGATTCTACATCTTCAGAATACGCTTTCCTTGAAGGTAACGAGTTGTCCACATGAGTGAATATGATAGTGTGCATAGGAATTTAAACTAGCTTCTCTTGAAAAGCTTAAAACAAAGACAAAGGAGCTGGAGGTTCCTATTCTTCTGCATTTGTATTTCTTTCTTCTTTTCATTCTCTTTATGAGAACCTAACTCCCAGCCTTTGAAAACTCACTGGAGGGTCAGCTATGAGTTGCTTCCAATTCCACGGCAATAACTTTGACTTTGAGCTCCTAATCCTTCTCGGCACCATCCCCACCTCTTCCTTTCCTTGTCTCTTCCATCTTACCTTCTAGCACTTTTCTTTTTACATTTCCACCTAGCCTCAAAATTAGAAAAATATTTTCAGGTTAACATTCTTCTCTACCAAAGAATTGAGCCAAGTAGGACCCAAAGTAAATTTAAGTTGACACTCTACTTACCCACAAAGGATTTATCTGCCAAGACAGCTGGTAATGATGTGACCAAGAGAGCCTGGTCAAAAATGACGTACAATCCCAACTCCAATATTCTCAGGAGCTCCGCGTCCCCATGTCATCGTTAAATGCCGCTGAGTTCACTGCTAAGAGTGTGGGGACCCTGTGAGCAACAGAAACCTTGCCTTGTTTTATACCGTCTCACCGTCTCAACCACATTCAAGCCTGCTGTTGCAGTCCCTATGTCCTTATATCTACTTCTCAATCTTCCTCTCTTTTGGTGACCTTTCACTTTGCAAAGCATGATATCTTTTCCTCCCAAGAACTGGTACCTCTTGACAGTATACTCAAAGTATATGAGAAGGAGTTTCATCCTTGCCACCAAAGAGCACCATGGTTTTGCTTCCTCTAAGAAATATTTGTTTATTCTTGACCCTTGTGTCCCCCAATCGTATTTGAAGATGGTGTTTCTCTAACTTAAGTTCGTGTCAACCGTTATGCTGAGTTCTTTACAATAACAAATGGGGGTTTTTTAATGTAAAATGCCTTCTCTCCCTCTTATAATTAAAGTGAACATCTGCTGTGATGTTGTACCACACATTCAAGCGTTAAGTGTTTCTTTTCTTTCTGTCCATTAGATTTGTGACAAGGAGTGGCATTACTATGTCATCAATGTGGAGTTTCCAGTGGTTACCTTATACATGGATGGAGCAACTTACGAACCATACCTGGTGACCAACGACTGGCCCATTCATCCATCTCACATTGCCATGCAGCTAACAGTCGGCGCTTGTTGGCAAGGTAACCCAGTTAACGCAGGGGCCTTAATCCTGGCCCTTATCCCTCACCCATCTGTGTGGATTCCGTGACAGATACTTGTAAAGAAAACGGAAAAGCCAAGGGTATGAACAACTATCCAGGAAAATATTCTATGCTTTTCAAAAAATCCACAGAAAACAGTCTCTGTGTGATGCAAATGGTTAACACACTTGCCTGCTAACTAATAGCTAGCAGGTTCTCATCCCCTCCACCCCCCGAAACGCTTTGGGAAAAGAGCTGGCAACCCTTTGCTGACATATTTGCAATTAATAACACTGTGGAGCTCAGTTCTAGGTACATAAGCCCATCATGAGCTGGAGTTGACTTGACGCCGCCTGGTCCTAATAAAGCCTTTGTGATTGTTGTTGAGTGCCATGGAGAATCTATTATACATGTGTTAATGCACACACTGTTGTTGTTTTGTTGTTATGCGCCATCGAGTTGTTTGCGACTCATAGCGACCCTATGTACAACAGCCCTAAACCCTGCTCTATCCTGTGCCAATCTCATTGCCTCTGACACACCCATCCCGAGTACCCCAGTCACTGAATCAATCCACCTCATAGAGGGTCTTCCCCTGCTCCGCCGTCCCTCCACCCTCCCAAGCATGATGTCCCTCTCCAAGGACTGGTCTCTCCTTACAACATGACCAAAGTATGTCAGATGAAGCCCCAGAATCCTTGCCTCCAAGGAGCAGCCTGATTTAACCCTCTCAAGGATGAATCTGTTTGTTTTCTTGGCAGACCATGGTACATTCAATACTCTTCTCCAGCACCACAGCTCAAAGGCATCAATTCTCCTTCTATCCTCCTTAGTCATTGTCCAACTCTCTGTTGCATAACAAGTGATTACAAAAACCATGGCCTGTATCAGGCGCACCTTAGTCTCCAGAGATACAGCATTGCTCTTGAGTTTAGAGACTACACCTCTGTAATAATTAAGCACTTAACTGCAGACCAGATTTTGATTTAAGACTTATATCAGCGGTTTCATGACTGCCTCTGAGTTTGCCTTTGCTAATCATGCCTTTTCGTGCTGGGCTGCTAGGACACTGAAAGGCCGAGCCCGCCTAGGTTCTTGGGATATTTAATTACAATTGGATCCAGTCTCTGGCTTCTGGAGGCGCGGTAGGTTTGAGGACTCCGAGGACGTGTGGTGGTTCTTTGGGGCCCACAAGGGGGTTGGCATAGCAGACTAGCCAGATGAATGGGGGTCTGGGGCAGGGATTGGAAATCCTATGAACCTGGAGGGAGGAAGAAAGGCACCCAAGCATCAGGAACTCTCCTTCATACGGTTGCTATGAGTCTCAGGCGACTCGACGACACTTAACAACAATAACATCAACAGAGAGAGGGATCAGCTGGCCCAGTGGACAGAAAGCGATGCTACCAAGCCAAAGGTGAGTGACTTTTAATCCACGGCCCTCTGGCCTGTCTTTCATTGTTTTTGTTCAGATATTCCTCTAGGTTGTATAGCCCTGGTGTACAAGTTGCCTTACTGTGGTCACTTGTGGTTGCTGTGAGGCTGAACACTGTGACACGGGTGTGTGTCAAATGCATTAATGGCTGGTTACCCATTGCGGACAGAGAGTGGGGTGGAGCTCCCCGATTAAAACAAGCTTGGAAGGAGGAGTGACATCCACTTCCATAATAGCTTGCCTCCGGAAACCCTATGAACTTGGAGAGAGGATGAAAGACACCCAAGCATCGAGGACTCTCCTTCATAGGGTCGCTATGAGTCACCTGTGACTCGACGACACTTAACAACAACAACAACAATCATACCTTTTATTGTTCTGGGGCCTAATTTCTTTCTAAATCGGAGCAAAAACATGAAAATGTAAAGACAAGATGAATGTAGATGCATTTAAAAGTTTTTAGCAGGTTTGATTGAGTTCCATGAGCCAAGATTTTTCCTCCTTGTTTTCCACATAGGCTGTGTAAGGACCTAGCCCTATGTTGAAGGAACTCAAAAGTACTGAGGGCTGTGGGGCACAGGTAGGGAACAGCCCATGAGTTCAGGAAGCTGCTCTCCAAGTTCAATTAGTTCTACTGGCCCTGATCTCTAAGGATTGAACTCCAGCGTTTAATCCCCATTTGAAGATTTCTGCTCCCTCCTCACTTGCTCTCTTAGAATCCCTCAAGTTCAGGCTAATTGATTCTTTGAACACAGGCTCTGTAACCGGGCATTTAACCTTTCTATCTCTCTGATCTTTTGTTTTTTGATACATTAAAGGCTGGCGTCCTTTGAAGAGCAGAGAGGAAAGAAAATATTCCCCAAAATAGCTGATGAGAACTTCAAGATAAGGCCCAACCTCATCCTGATGGATTCTGTGAAAGCTGTCAGGATTTGTGACTTTTAACAATTTTACATGAGGAACTCAGGATAGAGGTGGGCTAGCGTGTAAGAAGAGACCTTCAACAGACGAGCAAACCACAAATGCTGGCAAGGTTGTGGAAGAATTAGAATGCTTATTTATTGCTGGTGGGAATGTAAAATGGTGTGTGATCTGCCGCTTTCTCAAAAAGCTGGAAATAAAAATACCATTTGATCCCCCAATTCCACTACTAGAAATACACCCTGAAGAAACCAGAGTCATGACTCAAACAGATGTATATACACTCATGTTCCTTGGGTGTTATTCACAATAACGAAGAGATGGAAGCAAACCAAGTACCCAGCAACAAATGAAAGGATAGAAAAACTATGACACATTCACACAATGGAATATTACACAGCACTGAAAAAAACAATGAACTCATAAAACATTACACAGCATGGGAGAGCCTGGAGGACATTATGCTGCATGAAGTATCTCGGTCACAAAAGGATATATAGTCTCCGTAATACCATTGTTATAAAATAAGACAGACATGGAGGGAGTGGGGAGAGAATGGGAAAAGAGTGGATAGATAATGAATACTGCATTAAATCAGATGAAGGGAAGAATTGTCCAAAAGAAATATATGATTAGGGTTTATATGAATGAGAACAATCTGGAACAAGGGGTGCATTGCCGGCATGAATGGAAGAGGGTAGTGTAGGGGAATGTACAACAGTTGAATAAGCAAAACATTCTTTTATGTTAGAAAAAGAATATGCTTTCCAAGGACTATCTAATTCAGAAGTGAACTAGGAAGGCTGCAAGAGTGAGTTCTATGTAAAAAAAGGAAGGAGTGTATATAATGCAGTACTAAGAGCATGAAGGCTTAAACTCAGGGGAAATAAAGATTCAACAAGACAGATGAAGAAAATGTGTTTTTTTTTTTTTAAGCTGAGGTCCTCCACTTAATTTCCAAGAGATGCCACATGATGTTCAATGTTCATCGAATGTTTTTCTGGAACTAGGTGGTGAGAGCTTCGTCAGTATCTCAGGCTTGTCCAGGATGATAGAAAAGGTTGACTATGTTATCTGGCAAGAGTCTATAAAGGAGTTAGTACAGCAGTGCATTGATTCAGAGACTGCATTAACCACTGAACACAACTGTGTTGATGTGACAGCTCTGATGTGTCTTAGTGACCCAATCAGACACCACAGCCAGCCTGTGGTGATTAAGGTTGTTATTGTTGTTAAGTGCCGTCGAGTCACAGGCGACTCATAGCGACCCTATGAAGGAGAGTCCTCAACGCTTGGGTGTCTCTCATCCTCTCTCCAGGTTCATAGGGTTTCCGGAGGCAAGCTATTATGGAAGTGGATGTCACTCCTCCTTCCAAGCTTGTTTTAATCGGGGAGCTCCACCCCATTCTCTGTCCGCAATGGGTAACCAGCCATTAATGCATTTGACACACACCCGTGTCACAGTGTTCAGCCTCACAGCAACCACAAGTGACCACTGTGCGGCAACTTGTACACCAGGGCTATACGACCTAGACGAATGTCTGAACAAAAACAGTGAAAGACTGTGATTAAGGAGCAGAGGCTAATGTGTTAGTTAACTTATGTTGTTGAAACAGAAATACCACAAGTGGATAGTCTTAAGGAACCAAAATTTATTTTCTCTTAAAGCTTAAAAGATCAGAAGGGAAGTCCAAATTCAAAATATGGCTCTAAGGGAAGATGTTCTACATTGGTTTGTTTCAAAGTTTAGTAGCCTAAAGTCCTTGATGTTCCTAGATGTATCTGCTTCTGATATTTTTAGACATTTTTGTTTCTGTCTCCCCTCTCTGTCAGCTTTACTCTGATGGCTCATCTGCTCTTTTCATTTCTTTAATATTTTGTTGTGAATTGAGTGAAACTACAGAATAGTTTCTTAATGAAAAATTAATATGCATTTTTGTTTCGTGACATTAGTTGCAATCCACTCAATGCATCTTCCCATTGCTTACCTGGGGTTCTTATTTCCATTGGCTGGTTTTTATTGTCCCTTTCTGCCTTTGTTTTTGGGAAAAGATTTCCCCTTTAGTCTCCTGTCATTGGCTATTCTGAGGAACACATACCCCTCTCCCCCCTCCCGCCAATAGATGCTGTTGTTCACATCATAGTCTATTATTTACCTGAAAGGTGATCTCCAGGAACAGGTGTAGTTCCCGATTAGAAAGATGCCTGTAGGGGTCTAAGTCTAAGGGGTTCCACGAATTTTCATCAGACCACAAAATCTTATCTTTTAACCTTTTGTGATTATTTATTTTCTTCCACATTTTCCCCTTCCTCTTCCTAGGACCTTCTACTGTGATTCTAATCAGAGTTGTCAGTAGTGGTGGCTACGTATCATGTGTAGTTCTTCTTGCCCCAGGCTAGCAGAAGCTGCAATTCATGTGGTCCATAGTCCTTTGGACTAATGTTTCTTTGAGTTTATTATTTTCTTCACTTTTCTTGGCTTTCGCTGGGAAGAGCTCAATATCTATATTGAAGATGACTACTCCCAAGCTTCTGAGACGTTAATCCTTCGTTTTTACCAAAGTAGAATGTAGAACATTATCTTTATCATCTGAGAATACAGTCTTAAGCCCTTAAGTCCAGTGATTCAGCCCCTCAAGGTATT